CGCACCTGTAATTCCGGCTACTCGGAAGGCTGAGGCGGAAGGATCGCCGGAGCCCAGCGGGTCGAGGCTGCGGTGGCCGGGAGCGGCCACTGCACTCCAGTCTGGGTGACAGAGTGAGACTCCAACTCAAAAAAAAACATATATATAGAGGCCAGGTTTGGTGGCTTAGCCTGTAATCCCAGCACTTTGGGAGACCAAGGCAAGTGGATTGCCTAAACCCGTGGGTTTGAGACCAACCCAGGGCAACTTGGCGAGACCTCTACTCTGCAATAAATAAAAAATTAGCTGGGCATGGTAGCGCACGCCTGTAGTTCTGACTACTTGAAAGGCTGAGGCGGAAGAATCACCGGAGCCTAGCAAGTTGATGCAGGGGTAGCCAGGATTGTGCCACTGCACTCCAGCCTGGGCTATGGGTTGAGACTCCAACTCAAAAAATAAAAATAAAATAAAATAAGATAAAATAAAATAAAGAAAATAGAACAATATGTAGAAATGATTCGTAGAGAAATCCAGTATGGAAAATGACCCATAACCATTTGGTTCCATGACTTTAAGGTTCTTGAGAGCAGAAATTATTTTTATTTGTTTATATATCTACAATACCTAACATAGTGCTTAATAAGTAGTAAGCAGAAGATGGATAAATGAATGAATGGATGGATGAATGGGATGCATAATTTGTACTGTGCAGTAGGATTTTGGAGGAGGAAGAATCTATCTAACTGAATAATTTTGCCTTGGCAGATAAGCTCAGTGTAGAGAGAAAGACCCCCATAGGTACAGTGTGAGGTTGCTGTCTGCATACCAGATCACCATAGAGTCAAGCACAAAAATGGAGCGGGAAAGTCTAGAATATCAGTGCTTTAGGCTGTAGCCTACTACATCATAACAGTGACTCTCCAGCTAACCAGAATTGTGTATTTCCTTGAGGACATTGCTAAAACAGTTGCAGGATATAGAGTAGGTGGAGGGAATTGTGAATGTTTTCCAGACTCTGGAGAGAACTTAGAGAGTACCCTCTCCCTGTAAGCCACTCTCTTTCCACAGTGAAAAGGTGTAGTGTTTTTTTGAGCTGGGAGCCAGGATTTAAATCTCAGCTCATTCAAAGTCCCTGAAAAGTTGTTAGATTACTTATGCTTTGTTGACTTTATGTATTTAAAAAATGTTATTCACTTATTATTGTTAACCATCATACACAAAATCACCTTGGGCTCTTTGGGAATGACCAGCAGTGGAGATGATGAGTCTTTGTACCATAAATAACTCAATTGCTCCCTCTGTCAAGACTGTGTTTCTGCCTGAGGTTCCTTTGAGGTCTATCAAACTAGCAAAGCCAAACTGAGCCAGGGGTGTGGTTTGCTGCTTCTGAGTCTCTAACTTCAGTCCCTATGAATGTTGTAATTACAGAGTATCAGCTAGAGCCTCACAGTTTAGAAATACTGTGCAGTTATTCTTATAAACAGTTGAATAGGAATTAAATGTCCTTTGAGTCAGCATTAGAGTCTCTAGAGTGACTCTTTATATGCTGTTTAATATATAGCTTTGGAGGCTCTGTACTTGACCATTCTGGTGTGTAATTGAAAAACAGAATTTTGAAACAACACAGTTTTGGACAACGTATCGAAAAGAATATCTCTTCCATACATTAACTATAAGGCCCATCATTTCCTCAAGAAAAATACAGCACAGTGTCAGATGCTGTATTAATTTCTCCACCTGAAAGCTCATGTTGGTTGCTTCGTGACAAGTTACACACATTACAAGTGGTGGTTTCTTACCAGGAAAATTTTCTTGGACAAGTTATTCACATCCAATCCATCAGCATATGTATTGTTCTATTTCCAAAATATACCCTAAACCCATTTACTTCTTTCTATCTCCACTGTTTACTTACTGTTCTATCCAAGACACCATCATCTCTCACCTAGATCACTGCAGTAGCCTCCAGACTTTTCCATCTTGCCTCAATACATTCAGTTTCACATAATAGCCAGATTCATCAGTTTAAAATATAACAGATATTGTCACTTCTTGTTTTGAAATCTCTTCCTAATTTGCCTAATCTCTTCCTAAATTGCTTCGTATGGCAATTAGAATGAAATCCAAACTCTTTACGCTGGCCCAAAAAACCTCTCTGACTTCTTTTTGTAACATTCCGCCCTGTCCTCTCCCCCCTCTAGCCTCCCTCTTCCTTCTTTCTAAAAGAAAGATCCTTGCTGTCTCTCTGCCTGGAATAGTCTGATTCCAGTTCTTTCCATGACTGACTTCAGCTTAGATGTCACCTCCTCTGAGGGCATACTTCTCTGACCTCCTAACTGAAAAAGCCCTCCTTCCCTTACCAGTAACTCTACACTATACCTCTTTATAGCCCTTTTAATTTTCTTCTGAAATTACCATGTTTATCTATTTGCTTATTTTCTTATTGACTTCCTCCACACAGTCTGAACACCCCAGGGAAACTAGGACCTTTATTCTACCTGCTACTGAACAATATGACTGGAATAGTGCCTGACATAAAATATATACTTATTGAATATGTGAATAGATAGCACACATATATATTCATTTAACAAATATATTTATTTATTTGAATATATGTTCATTAATGTATACTTTATGTGTTATATATGAATAAATAGAGATCACTGAAGACTTTTTTTCCTATCTAGTTTTTATCTTAACTTGGAATATTAGAATGGATGGAGTCATCATTTTTGTTAAGTGTAGGATCTAGGCTAGAATAAATGCAGCAACTTGAAAAAGCAGTAAAAGATTTTGCCTCTTTACTGTACCTCACTATACCATGAACATGGAAGAACACCTAGAATTACCAAAGACTCCTTGACCAAATGCTTACAGTGCCTTCCAAGAGGAATCATATATGTGTGTATATATGTTTCTGAATGTATTTTTATGGACTTTATTTAGGTATTTATGTTAAAGAAGTGATAACTCCTATAAACTCTAAGCTATTGTCCAAAGTTCTAATGCCAATACTTAAATCACACATATCTTTTTATTTTGGTGCTAGAATCTTTTTTTTTTTTTTTTAATTTTTATATTTTAAAGATGTGGGGTACAATTCAGGATTAGGTACATAAGTGGTCATCATACATGTGAAGTTTGAACCTCCCATTGGTCCTCACTTTGCCTGGTTTGGGATCAGGTAATTAATGTTATGTGCCCAACTCCTCCCTCCCCTGGCAGTGTCCACTACTGCCAATCCCTTTCTTATAGTATAATGATAAATGTTCAAGATCCCCTTATGAGTGAGGAGTGAGTGAGTTCTTTTGGGTTTATTCCCAGAAGGGCAATTGCTGGGTTGTGCGAAAGGTCGATTTTTAGAACTTTTAGAAATCAAGTGTGGTGATTTCCACAGTCTGTACTAATTTACACTCCCGCCAACAGTGTAGATGCGTTCCCTTTTCTCTGCATCCTCACCAGTATCTTTTGTGGTGCTGGAATCTTTTGATTTGCTTTTTAAACTCTCCTTTATCCATAGTTATAACTTCATTTTAAAATGGCCTTGAGGAAAATATACATATGGTAACAATTACACTCAGTTCTGAAGTTAAATGTCACGTGGATAGATTTATCTATGACCTAATGAATGAGGTATTTCTACTTCCTCAGTGGATAACTCATTTCTATTTTTATTCATATTTTCATCCATAAAATATTTTAAGCACTGACTAGTTAACAGCACTATACTCACCTCTAAAGTCAAAATTACTAGTGAGGCCAAGCCAACTTGGATCTCTTAGCCTAACATCATAGTCTGCAGGGTGACCTGCTTAACGCTAGGGCCTAAGAGTCTTCACCAGTCTGTCTTCAGTCATACTCAAGGAGAGAATAATGCCAATGTTTCTATGGTGTGTTTCAGCAACTTGGAAGTATATACAGTATACTTGCTGCAATCTTAAATGTTGGAAATATTGAATTTTCTTCTGTGGCAACTGAACACCAGATTGACAAGAGCCACATTTCCAATCATGCAGCTCTGGAGAACTGTGAGTTTCATCATCTTCTATTCAAAACTGGACTCTTTAAAAGTCTTATGCTATACCATAAGTGTCACATAAGGATAATTTCAAGCAATTATACTAATATGGAATCTTTAAATAAAAACTCAATTTGTATAAAACTAAAATTTAAAAGTCTAATGTTTAAAACAGATCTTCATGCCTACAAATTAACTGATCATTATAGGCAATGTATCTAACAACTAGACTTTTATGACTATTTTAGGAACTATTTACATTTCAATGTAAAAACATGGATAATGTAATTAAAATTTAATAAACTGATCTGAAAAATAATTAAAGTAGTTATCTTATAGATTTAGTATATATATTATTTTATAAGTAATTAAGACCTGTAATATTTTCATACTGGATGAATTTTTGTATACCCATTCATCCTGGGTTATTGATTTTGCTGTAATTTTATACGTAAGAGAAGTTCATTATGGTATTTAATTCAAATCAAGTTTTCTCATAATAGTAGAATTTTATTAATTATTCCAATAACTTAAGATTCCTTATTGATATCTTCTTCCAATGGCATCCTTTTTTTCTCTTTAGAATATATTCTATTCTTTTATAATTAATATTGGCATATGCTCCTATAATTCCATATTATTTGTTTCATGTATTACCTAGAGACTTATAATATGAATTTTTATTCATGTATTATTTTTCTGATTTATACTTAAGAAGAGAAAGAGATGTTTTAGTATAAATGCCAAACCTCCTGGTCCAGAACTGTCCTTAAGATCCCTGCCATCTCTGTCCCACTGTGTCCCTGGAACCAGGGTGGTGATACAACAGATCAAGTGTCTGAAGGTGGCATGTAGTGATTGACATGTACCTTGAAACCTTGAGGAAATGTGTTCTGGTTTTCCATATATAAAAACTTGTAATTGACACACAAATATTAGGTTGTCCAAAGTGGAAAAAATTACCAGAAAATTCCATTGAAAAGATTCAAATCTCACCATCTGCTCATAAATAGAAGAGTTATCAACAACCAACAGGATAAGTTGCAATAGAGATAGATAGGTTGTAGGTAAGGGTATATTAGAAGCAACCAAACTAAAAAATGATTTTGATGATTGAGAACTTATCTCTCTATATAAGGAGACAATCATATAGGTTACAAAAGGTCAATATTAATATAATTTAAATTACTTAAAGTACTTTCTGGAATAAAGTAGAAATTCATGGAAAGTAGACATTTTATTAATTTACATTAAAATGATTGATAATTAAATTTACAAGGCATTATCTCCAAACCAAGGGTATATTTCCAGATGGTTTTACAAGTGCATTGCTCCAATCAGGTACCAGTTCTGTCTATTTTATCCTATAAATATCTCTCAAATCTGACCAGTTCTCTTTAGCACCATTTCTTTATTACCATCATTGCCATCCTTTTTAACAACTTTGCCTCTCACTTGAACCAATTAATCTCCCAATTGTCCACTCCACATCATGCATTAATCTTTTCCAGGTCATTTTCTACAATTCATTCAGGAACCACATAATGCATGTATCAGTGGACTCTCTCAATCTCTCCCTCTCTCTCCCTCTTCTGCTCCCTCTTCACTGCCACTTTCCCTTCCTCTTTCTGTTCCCTTTCTCCTCCCACCTACATTTCTTGATTAGCTTCTCAATCCTTCCAGATAAAGACCATCATGACTAGAACTTTGTTTTGTACTTAGCATTATATCTCTAAGTGAAATGCCTGGCATATAGTAGACATTCAATAAATATATGTTAAATGAGTAAACAGTGTGGGAATAGAAATAGACATACAGATCAGATCAGTGAGAGACACTGTTCAGAAACAGAAAAATTACCAAAAATGGCATTATAAATCCCTAGGGAATCGGTGTGTAGGGTGGAGCAACTGGCTAACCATCTGGGGAAGGGGGGATGTGCAAATTTGAATGATTCTCTTTTACCATATACCAAAATGAATTTCAAGGGGGGGGTTCAAAAAAAACCCAGAATTTTCCTTTGGAAGGTGGTCCACTTGTAGTACAACTCAGAATTTGTTCCTCCAGCTCAGTCAGCCAAAGTTTTTGTTTGTTTGTATGTTTTTTGGGGGGGTCGTTTATTTGGGGTTTTTTTGAGTCGGAGTTTCACTCTGTTGCCCAGGCTGGAGTGCAGTGGCATGCTCATGGCTACCACAGCCTCAACCTGCTGGGCTCAGGCAATCCTGAATGTTACCCACAATTTGTGGAAGAAATGTCTTGAGTTGTGGCAAACAAGTGTCCAGTTCTTCTATCATGACAGTGTACCTGCCCACACCATGACCAAAAATGCCATGGCCCCTATGCCCCACCCTCTCTATTCACCTGATCTTGCCTCAAGCAACTTTCTTTTGTCTCCCTGTTTAAAAAAAAAAAAAAAAGTCCTCAAAGGGAAATGTTTGGCATGTGGAAGAGGTGAAACAAAATACTAAAAGCAACTAAAAGGCATCAATATTGATGAGTTCAAAACCTGCTTTAAGCTGTGGAAAAAGCATCTCAATAGGTGTATTGCATCAAACAGAAGACTTTGAAAGTTTACATGTAAGAATAAACACACAATGTTTATAAATAAATTCCATTTTGACGGTCTCCTCTCATATATTTTAATTGCAAAAAAGTAAAAGTACTTAACTGAAGTGTATCTATATAATCCTGAGGTGAGAAAGGACTTGAAGGAATTTATGTGCAGAAAACCAAAAGCAGAAATGATTAAAAAAAAAAAAAAGACAAGACAAGGTCTCATTGTTACCTAGGCTAATAGCACAATTATGGCTCACTGCATCCTCAAACCCCTGGGCTCAAGTGATCTTTCTCCCTCAACCTCCTGAGTAGCTGAGACTACAACTGGCTCACTGCATCCTCAAACCCCTGGGCTCAAGTGATCTTTCTCCCTCAACCTCCTGAGTAGCTGAGACTACAACTGTGTGCCCCTACACACAGCTAATTTCTCTATTTTTTGTAGAGACAAGGCTGGTCTTTGTTGCCCAGGCTGATCTCCAACTCCTGGCCTCAAGTGATCCTACCATTTCAGCCTCCCAAAATGTTGGGATTACAGGCATGAGCCACTACCACACTTGGCCAGAAATGATTTTTTAATGTCTATTTGACACATAAAAGTAAAAAAAAAAAATTCATACTGATAAAAGAAAACATAAATGAAACTGCAGTGCAAATGAAAACTGAGGGAAAATATTAGCAACATATATATCAAAGCATTATTCTCTTAAAGCTATGAAGAACTGGTATAAATTGATTAGGAAAAGGTAAACATAACAATGAAAAAATTGCAACTTATAAAATAAGAGTCAAAAGTCACCAATAAAATTATGAAAAAAATGCAGCTTCACTAGGAATCATTTATAATCCAAAAGATAGGAGACATTGTTTTCTATCAAATTGGTTACTTAAAAATCAATAGTCTTTGGTGTCCATGAAATTGAATTGAATTTATTGGTGTTTTATTTAACTGGTAGGAGTGTAATGGCTCAGAGTTTTTAAGAGCAGTTAAGTAATATCTACCCAAAAAACTTAAAGATTTTTATATGCTTTGAGCCAATTGTTGAATTTAGGCAATCTATACTAAGAAAATAATACAAAATATAAACACAGATTTATTTCAAAAATATTTATCCCAGCATTTTTTACAATGATGAATATGTGGAAACAACCTAAACATCCAAAAATTTTTAAATTATTGATATAATATATAAGAATATTATGTAGCAAATTAAAATCATAGTTACAAACAACTTTGAACAAAATGGGAAATGTTAAAGCTATTATATTAAGATAATATATTTGTGCAGAATAATGGCAATAAAAATGCCTAAAAGGAAAGAAATGCAAAAGGTTAACTTTGAAGGCAATATTTCTGCAATGAGTACTTCTACAACATGAGCAAATTTGTTTAAGATAGAGTTCAACAATCTTAGCCACATAACTAAAAAATATCATGCCACAAATGCTAAAAGTAAATTCAAAATGTTCAAAATATTTTAAAAGGAGAACAACTGGTTTGAAAACTTAAGCAATTTGTCATCTAATAGTTTTAGTTAAAAATGTTTATTATATTCAAAAATAAATTTTGTTCACTGCATTTGTGTTATTAATTTGAAATTCCCAGTGAAATTTAAATTTAAATAAAGTGAAATTCAGTATTAAATAAATGCTTAATTACCAAGTTTTAACAAAATGTAGTAATTAAATAAAATAGTAAAGTAAATAAATAAATAAAATAGTAATTTTTAAAAACTAAAAAGTTAGTATGGTAAGAGGTACATGAATGTCAAGATAAGTTCATGCTTTTTCAGCTGTCTGCTGCAGAAGTTACTTCAAATACGTGTGTTTTGGTATATCCTGAAGTCTAAGTAAACTTCAATTAATTTCTACATTTTGAAATGTGTATATACTAGTGGTATCCAAATTACACCAAATCTATTTGTTATCCCTTTAAATTATTGAACACAATTTGATGAAATTAGTTTAACATTATGTAAACAACCACTCACTTGTGCAGTTGTGTCACTCTGTCAGCCAATGAGATTTGTGTTGTGTTACATTATGCAGCAGCCTAAGTTTGACCAGTGAAGATAAGTAGAGAAAAATGATCAAGAAGAGACATAGGACCCATTTTGAATAGTAACTTATTTTTATATTACAAAATCCTCACATATTAAATTCATATCATTTGAAGAAGGCACATTAAGACATTTTCATTTTCTGGGAGTGATCTCATTGCTATAATTTCTTCTAAAAATACATCTGCTTATTTTTCAGCTGCTTCATTGCTTTGCATTCAGGCAGATGAGCTACAAGAAGCTCTCACCTCCCACTGTGTGGTCACTAGAGGAGAAACAATTATACGACCCAATACTGTAGAAAAAGCTACTGATGTCAGAGATGCCATGGCTAAAACTTTATATGGACGTCTCTTTAGTTGGATAGTCAACCGCATAAACAGTTTGTTGAAGCATGACTCATCACCAAGGTAAAAAAAATTTTTTTTTTAATTTTTATAGAAACATTTCCTTCCCAAATGTCAGGTAATGTAAATGTATTTTCTAATTGTTGCTCTGTATAAGTTCATTTAAGGATATTTCTACTTTATCTAAGCTATAGTTTAGTAGATATGATTCATTTCCTAATAGTAGCACCTCATTATACCACATAACTATATGATTTTTAAATTCCTGCACCATAAAAACTGTAGCAACATGAATAAACACAGTACAAAGTGATTTTTTAATGTCACATTTTACTATCAATTAATACATTCTTTCAATTAGAAGTTTTACCATGAAGTATATACCAGTTTATATTTGTATAAAACGTCAATTCAGTAGTTCTTTGATTTTGTTTTTAGGGTTTAAATTAAATTTTGAGGATAAAGAAAAACTTTCTTTTCATATTTTAATTCTCACCATAACCTTATAAGGGCAGGTGTTATGATTGCCAGTGAAAGGTGGTTCAAAAATGCACTATGTAATGGTAGATCATAGTAAATGGTAGAACCAGGATAGGAGCGTTAATGTTATCTGACCCCATGTCTACAGCCTTCCTAGAACCTTACCTTTGAAATAAAGATAACCACAGCCACCATTGACTGCTTGCTATTTGCTAGGGATTGTACATAAATGTAAGTCCTCACCTTTACATCTAAAGCTTTATTTTACCATAAATTATATAATCTTTAGAAATTTTGCATGTGGAAAAGCAAGATGGATGCCTAACTTAAGATCATCCCATTCATACCTGCTTACTAAACATAAAAGATCACTTTATATACATTTCAAGTGTGCAATTCATCATTAGTTTTCCACTAAAATACATAACACAGCATAATATTATCTGTCAAAGTGTCTAAGATATTATCCATTATTCCTCCATGTTCTTAGTTCTGTGTTCCTCAAAATTGCTTCTATACCTCCCTACTGAACTGTATGTACGCTATCATAGCCAAGCCTGCAAATCACAATCTAATTTTCCCATTATATTTAATGGTCAAAATGACTTGTATGTTCATGTATGACCATCTATATGATATCAAGAATTTATATGAAAATGGAAAAATTGAGGAATTTTTTTATTATCCATATATTCAGATAAAGTAAGCAAGATATTCAGAGATCTGACTTCATTTTTTTATTATCATCTGCATGTTTGGCTCTAAATAGTACCCAGAGGGATTATCTGCTGAAAATTCTACTATAGCCTATGTGCTAAATGGTAACTTTCCTTGCCATACACTAATGAAAACTATCCAAATCTTAGATTTTAAAATTTTTTACAGAATGTTTAAAAAACTAGAGCAAGATCAACTGAAATATTCTAGTTCAATTCTGTCAAAATTACACTAAGATTTTAGAGAGCCAGGTTTTGCCACTAACTTGTGTGACACTGGAAAAGTTACTGCATGTTTCAAGGTCTCTTCCTCCTCGGCTATTAAATAAGGATGACAAGTCAAGTCATTGAATGACTTGTCATTAATAAGTTAGTGGTCTTAACTATTGGTGGTTATCTTGAAGACTTTTAAGAACCTCTTGAAAGCTATCTATGTCCTTCATTCAAGATTTTTAAAATGTGTATATTTAAACATACCCACCAAAATATTGCATACAGTGTGATTCCAGACCCCTTGAAGGCCATTAATAGATACCACTTTAAGAATCCCCATACTAGATCATTTGTAACATCTTTTCTGTCTCTAACACATTAATGTACAATGAGTTAAATATTTATCTTGGTGAGATCTTGTGGGACAAAGTAAATATAAAAGAATAATAATTTTGACTAAGCCAGTATGCATTTTAACTAGGCTTCTTTCCTCATTTTCCTCATATAAACACATGGACTTACATTTACTATCCAAAATAGGAAATTTCGGAAGTACTCAGATAACTTTCCTTTTGTTCATCCTGGCACATATTTAAAGTATTCTGTAATCTGTGTTCTGAATTCAGTCACTTCCTCTAAATGTAGAGCATATCCTTCAGCTCACAGCGTCCAGTTGCTAGGTGCCATTTCCAAATCAGTTTCTCACACGAGGCATAACCTAGAATATCTAAATAATAAACACAAAAAGAATCTTTTGCACTTTCGTTTTTAAATTCACATAAAACCCTGAAGAACTCAAATCACTCTATAAAAAAGATACCTGCACACGTATGTTTATCGCAGCGTTGTTCACAATAGCAAGAACCTGGAAACAACCATGCTGCCCATCAAAAGAGGACTGGATTAAAAAAAAAAGTGGTACATATACATGATGGAATACTACACAGCCATAAAAAAGAACAAAATCATGAATTTCACAGCAACCTGGATGGAACTAGAGTCTATAATACTGAGTGACCTCTCACAGAAACAAAGATCCGAGTATCACATGTTCTCACTCATATAATGGACCTTAAACATGTAATACTATAAGAAAATGACTGACGGTACTGGGAAACTATGGAGGGGGGAGATGGGATTGACAATAGCAAATATCTGTCTGGGGACGGGGAAACACCTCTTATCAACAGGGTGCCTGAATGAAACGTAATTGTATACCTAACCCTTAACTGTACCCCACAAAACCATAATAAAAAATATTTATAAATAAATAAATTCACATAAAAGTAACTCTGCAATATATGTATTTCTGGGCGGGGGGAGCAAACGTTTTGACCAATAGTAGAAAAATTATTTAAAATATTCCATTGTAAAATAATATTTAATTGTATTTTAAAGTATTTAATATAAAATAAATCTTTATATATTTATATCTTTCTCCAGATTGCTATTTATCATTTACATATTAACAATTATAATCAAATAATCCAAAAATAAATAACAATTCTTTAAAATAATTAAGATCTTTTTAGTAAATTTTTTAATTCTGCTAAAATGAAAGACTAAATATACTCCTTAACAGAATTTTTACTTTTATCATACAATTTTTATTGAATATATTTTTGCTGTGTTCTGAGTTCTAACCAACTTGCTCCTGTGATTCCTGAATCACACAGGGTTATGACTGTGCTTAGGGAAAAAAGTTTCTTTCTTTTGTTTCAGTATATAAGAGTATTTGAGTGGTTTCTCTACTACAAGGAAAAAATTTTCAATTTACATTTTAAAATCGATATTTTTATATGCTATGAAGAAAATCTTTTTCAATTAAGAGTATTTCACTCTAAGTATATGTCCTTGTAGTAGTTTCTTAGCTCAAGCACAGGAGTCCTGGATTTGCATTACCTCTTCAGGAAATACTTCAAAGTAATATCTCTTTAATTCTTCTAGTGGGACTAATAATGAGCTGAGCATTGGCATCCTTGATATATTTGGCTTCGAAAATTTCAAGAAAAATTCCTTTGAGCAGCTGTGCATTAACATTGCAAATGAACAAATTCAGTATTATTTTAATCAACATGTATTTGCATGGGAACAGGTAAGTTGAGGTACTTATGAAGATGCATGCATGTGTGTGTTAAATGTAGAGTTGTACTAAATGAAGCAGGGCATATATCATAAATTTAAAGCCTTAAACATTTAAAAAAAGACAAAGAAAATATTTTATTTTCTTCATGTCTATAGCAAAAACAGAAACAAAAACAAAAAACTAGTATGAATTTAGCATAACTTGATAGATGATGTTAAATGTTCTCAATTGAAAATCGGTATGCTCTTCTCCAAAATTTAGCATGTCTGAGCCCTTACAAAGAAATTTCCTTTGAAATTTTAAATAAACAGATGTGTCCAATAGTTTCTCTTTCTGTAGACTGCATAGCTGAAATTCTATTTGAAATTTCAATATCCATCTAAAACCCATTAAACTTCAGAATTCCAGTAGCTAGGCAACAGAACATAAGATAATGGGTTTGATGAAAATGCTATGAAATGGTAATTTTGTCAGGGTACAATGTGTAATTTATGATTCAGCTTCAAAAATATTCTTTCTTAGAAAAAAATCAGAGACTTACTTGAATTTAATTTGGCAAGACTATAGTACCATTTAAATTATTTTACTATCCGAAAGAGTCATATTTCATGTCATTCAGTATATCACTTGTCTCCTTCAAATATTACATTGTTTTGTGTTTAAATTAGAGGTAAATGAACCTGTTTTTATTCCAAATATTTAGGTTTATTGAGAATTTATTTTGAAATTACATTTTGAAAACAGTAGTCACAAAAGAGAATATTTATATCTTGACATTTCTTAGGCAAAAAAAAAAAAAGGATGTAAATTTAAGACTTTATTTTCTTATCTACCCCAGGATCTTGTTCCATCAAATATTCTCTCTTCCTCTCACCTTCTTCACTGCTCTCAACCCTTTCTCCATTGGTGCCCTCCTATAGCCTAGATATGAAGAAGTCTCTTCCAAATTTTAAAACCAAACAGAAAAAAACCAAAACAAAACAGAAACCCTTCTCCTCTCTGTAACCATGGCCCTATCTCTTCCCCTCCCAGCCAAAATCCTTGAAACCATGTTCAACACTCACTGTGTTGCATTAATTTCTTCACCATCTGGGCACATTGAGTCTATAGCATTGATCTCCGATCTCTCCACTTTACTACGTGGCTCTTCCTAATCTCATCAGTCATTAATACATTTTTGCCTTTCTCACTAGGCTGTAAGCTCATTTAGGTCACATATTATTTAGGTCACATATTATTTAGGTCACATATTATTTTTATATTTTCAGAGACTGACAATAAATAGCAAGTCTTCAATAAATATTAATTAAATTAATGTCATCCCACTTTAATATTCACAGAATCCATTTGAACCAGAGACTGAAACAAGTAAAAAAATTGTAGTTTGGGTTTTTTGATATGGATCTATGAGGGTTACCAGGTGCATTCTCATGTGTTGGCCATCTAATTAATGACTTGTATTGGTAGACCTCTATTGTTTTCTTTTTGGAGTTGGGTAGTATCTGATTTTATTGAAACTAGCCTTAAGCCAATTTACAGATATTTCAATAATTATTGCTTTTCACTTTTTATAAAATATTATAATTTACAAATCACTTTGATTGATAGCCTTGAATTTCATCCATGATCCTAAAGTCTTTTGTCTATGGGTTTGCTACAAAACTATAAATCCCTTTAAAATATCATTGAGAAATACTGAAAACAAGCAACTCAAGATTTCCCTCAACAAAATTAAAACTTCAACTAGAATCCAGGATTATAAAAAGCAATTTGAGGAATTAAGACCATTCCCAATCCTTTAGGTGCCTGCCTAGGGGAACTATCAAGGAATTCCTGCTTCATAATTTTATGGATCAGACACTGGTGGCTGAGTATGACCAGGTTAATGAATATGTTATTCAGTAGAAATGGTTTTAGTTAATTATTCTCTCTAGTTTAACATGTGTGTGGCACTTTATTCTTTTACTCTGTTACTCCCTTGCGAAGGTAGAAAATGTAACTAAGAAAAGCTAACTCTGTATGAATTAACTATCACAAACAAAGAGTACGCTTACACTAATTTATATAAATGAGAAATAGCTACAAAACCAAATAATTAATTAAAGTCATGGTCACACCTTTTTTGGTCAAATGTTACCCAGGTTTGACCTAATTTAGAACCCCTTAGTTTAACAGAGCCATTATTGCCTGTCAGTAAGAAATAGTGTCCTTACTTTCATGAGACATACAAATGATCTGGCTAAGTCTCAGCAAGACACAAACAAGCCTTGGGCAGCACCTTAATGAATAAAACACTTCTGGTCTTGTTAAAATCAGCAAGCATTATTTTTACTGATAGTTCTACAACATTGGAACATAAATAATGGTCTGCTGAAAGTGTTTTCTTATTTAACTCAACTTTGATTTATCTGTAATATACAAACCAACAAAGCTGGTTACAAAGATATTTTGAATATGATTTTCCCACTGCCTTTTACTATCAAAAATAATCAATAGACTACACCAAAACATTTTTAGTGAAAGAATTTATGATGGTGACCTAAATGATAGCTTGCTAAGAGGGTAGTTTTATTTCTTTTGGAATGTTGCCTCCAACTAACAATTTGTATTACTTTCCTAGATGGAGGAATTCCTATTATCCACTCACTAGCAGCTATGCCTCCTTTATCCTCATAGTCTATTTTACTATGGACATTAATTATATGCCTCAGAATCCTCTTGACAACAACCTAGAGCATCTAGAACTTCCATCCCTTTCTTTTCCTTATTATCAAGATTTTTAGAGTTAAGAGAGCTGGTCTATAGAAGCATTATTCTTCCAGGGTGTTTAATATATAACTCCTGAAAATTTTCTGGAGTTTGATATTTCATAGTATTTGAAGCTCTCATGCTTTCCCAGCACTAGAAGAATAATTCTATGTATACTGACTTCAAATAAAATCTAAAGGGACAATTTGTATCTGAAACAACAGTTTGACAATTAGATGATAATGTAGGTCCCACCTTGCAAATAGAAGATGCTCGACTGAGAAGTATAGTTGTAATCATTTTAAATTTTAACATTCAGCCAAAAGCTATTCAGTGAGTTGCAGCTGAAAATGTGTAGAATTTTCTCTCAATTTTATTAATTCCACAAGCATAATATTTATATCTCAGCCTTCCTTGTTACATTTGTACAGAATTTTCCTGACACACTGTTGAATTCCATTTTCTGAAAGGCTTTTAGTTAGCTGCTCAAAGGGCTGTTTTCTCATTTCTGACAAGGAAGGCATCTTTTTCTCAATAGCCCTCACACTAAATTTCCAAGATAAATATATAGCAAAGGTTTTGGTTTTATTTGATTTATTCTTTTTGTTCATTATCTTATTTTCTTCCATGTGTAAGACAGCTAAACAGTAATTAAAGTGTGATATAAAGTCTTAAGTCACATTTCTCATATTAGAATCCCATATGAGAAATGTACATCCCCTGTCAAAGGTATTCTCATCCTGGTGCTGTAGTGGTGGCTTTGTATTTTGCACTGTTGTATAATCATTGTGTATAGAACATACAAAAGATGTGAACCCTGCTCCTTAGAAGTTTACACTTAAAATCACGGGGAGCACACACCAACCATAGATTGGTCACCCCTCGGCATGAGTTTGAATTGGAACAAATGACATTGTTCTTTAGGGCACCTAGAACATGTGTATGATGATACTACAAAGCATTGCTCTGAAATCCTGAAGATTCACTCAACCTACTTATACACCTATTTATACTTTGGATAAGTTTTCTTCATCTATTAGAGTAGCACAGCTGACTAGCTATTAATTGGATTAAAGTTTTTTTAAAATGAGCTATTAATAATTGCTTTTTTTTACAAGGGTGAGTTTTTACATGTGTCATTTATACATGTACCCGTGGGTTTAGCACTGAACGTCAGAAGTCATTTTATAAGCAGGAAACTATTTACAGCACATAATGGAAACAATAACTGCAATTATGGCTCTACCTTCTCTTGCAGAAAGTGATGTGCATGACTTTCATCACCAGCTGTTCACATCCTAAAGTGTAAAGCTTTTGTGATTTTAAATGTGGGCTCCAACACATAATTTGTAGCAATTACAAAGAATAAAAATTTATTCAATATATGATAACTATATTTTTAATTTTTTATATTATAAAGTAAAAATAATCAGTCAGCTGATAAAAAATGCATGGACAAGTTTAAAAAACTCCTTAAACATGTCTTCAAATTGTTTTGCTGAGAAGTATGAATTTTTATTTTGTATTCAGCTTTCTTCCCCATTAAGCCACATGTGTGCAGGGTTGGTAGCATGTGTCTTATTTTAGCTCTCTGAGTGAAAAAGACCATTTTATGAGCATTTTCTCAAAGCAGAAAGATAACCAAATACATGTGAGAAGCCCTTGACACAACAAGTCTTTCTTTTTAAATGCCAAGCTTTGGGGTTTTGGTTGAGATTGCGTTCAAATATTCATTCCACTTCTCACACACTGAGTATGGAAGCTGATGTGCAGTGATTAGAGATGTGAGGCAGCCCCAGCAGCGGCTTCTGACTGTGAACATGCCATCCTCCCCCTCTGACCCGGGTGTGTTCCTCATCCCCCTCAGCAGCCATGCCACACTCGCAGTCTGTTTCTCTTTCATTGATGAAACTGGATCTTGCCTTTCATGTGATGTGGGGACTTGAGGTACCTATTTGGATAATTTGATGGTATTTTAAAGTTTTTTTAAGTGTTGGTTAAAAAGTCATTCTCAATGAAATATACAGTTAGGAACCTGGATCCATTGATTGTACCATAGTCTTCTACATGTGCAGTTAGAGCACACTGTTGACAAACTAGAAAGTAGTTTTTTTGGTAACGATTTTAAAATGGAGAAATAGTTGAAAGCAAAACAGATCCTGGTATATAGAAAACTACATTTCTGAATTTCTAACCCAAATGCCTCTTTATTGTTAGCTGATACTCACTAATATAATATAAATTTTATAATTATTTATGGC